GATGTCACATGGATTATTTTACCGATCTCCTTGCTACGTTTCTTGACCTTGATCGTGTTACTTACATTGCTGTCTATGGGAGGGTCAGAGAGCTGTTAGAATTCATCAAAAATATCTTAATTTGTGTTCCGAAGATGAACGGAGGTCTTACAGGTTTAGAACGACATGAGGGTGATTAATTAATGACAGAATTTTCATTTTTGGGTGAACTAACCCTTTAAGCAATAGTTCACTCAAGTATGTAATTTGTCATTATTTACTCACTAACACTTAAGTCTGGTTGTTAATGTCATTATTTGTTAAATGCTGCAGTTGTCGTTCCTGATGCGAAAAAGATTCATGCTGCCAAAGAGAAAAGGAGACAAGCCAGAGCCCAGCAAGATTACATTTCACTGGATTCACCCCGAACTCCTGGAAGCCTACAGGAAGAAGATCCGAGCAATGGAGAACAAGACAGTGACAATGAGCTGGACGATCATGAGCGCAGAATCGAGTTTGCACCCAAACCCAAGACTCTGAGAGAGCGAATGGCTGAGAAGATGGGTAAGAAACATGTGCTGCTACAGTACTTGTGTATATTAAAACACTGAAGTAGATCTCGAGATAGATGACATGTTCTGTATGTTCTGTGTTTGTTTTCTGTAGGGAGTGATAGTGATGAGAGTTTTTCTGACAGCCAGCAGGAGGAAGACCAGCAGATATGGGAAGAACAGCAAATTGGAAAAGGAGTCAAAAGACACCAAGTGAGACTCTCCACTGTGACATGATACCTCAGTTAATGTCCTTGAGCCATTTTGGATTGTAAATAACATAACTTTAACTTGCTTTTTATTACACACTGCTTCCATAGTGTTTCAAGGACCTTTCCTTGTATTCTCAGAAGGAATGGCAGGCTCCTAGACCAGCCCGACAGAAGAAAATGGACATCCCCGAAACACTTCCACCAGTCAGCATTGATGTCATTAAGAAGAGAATCGTTGCAAAGTAAGCTGCAGAAATGCATTGGTTTAATACTTATATAGCCTAAACTATAAATATAAACTACTGTTCAAAAGATTGGGGGTTTTACCTATATCATGTTATTACTTCGTTTATATATTATTTATTATTATACCTTTAAAAAAAAAAAAAATTACCTTTGCTGAACAAGGATGCATTCGACTGATCATATTATTTTACATAATATGTGTGTGTACTGTCACTGTGTATATTGATATGTATATATTAGTGCTGTCAAAATTAGTGCATTAACGCAGGTGATTAATTTATCCAATTTAACGGCATTAAAAATATTTAACACAGTTAATGCATGGGCAGGGCTTGGGTTGGCCACCCCACTCACAACTGCTGCTTCTGTCTCTTTTTTTTTTTCTTGACAAGAATTGCATCAGATCTGTCACGTTCAGCAGTGGCAGCTCTTAAAGTCATAGCAGCCAAATAACCTAATAACCCAGCTGCTGTGATGTCTGTAAATCAAAAAGCAAAAGCAAAAAGAAGACATCAATAACTTTTGTAGCTTTAAAGGTGCCATAGAATGCATTGATACTATATTTTAAATTGTTCTCTGATATCTACATAGAAGGTATGTGGCTTAGGTAAGGGCAAAAAATCTCCAGAAACGGTTTTACATGTCCATTTACAACCCTAGGATTTGTCCCTAGAATGAAATGGCCTGTTTTTACATTATTTGGAAGGGTCATGAATAATAATGTTGAGCTCTGCTCTGATTGGCTGTTTCACAGTGCGGCTCATTTCAGTAGCTCACACAGCATGAAGGAAACACAGGGAAAATATATATTTCAATACTCTCTCTCGCAGTTATATCGTTGGGTAATTATACTGTATTTAAAATGCGGGCATCAGGGAGCCTGATTCGCTAAGGGAGGTGCACAGGGCACGGGAGGCGGAGCTAAGGAGGATGCAACTGGATATGGAAATGGCCAAGAGCTCATTGGAGAGC